ATAATGAATTTTGGTGTATTGTTTTAATCTGTATTTATATGATTTCCCTTGATGATAAATAGTTGAAAAACTAGTTTAAACTAAAAAAAAATCTTTGTGTATAATATATATGTATATATATATATACACATGTGTATACATATGTGTATATATGTATATATATATATACACATGTGTATACATATGTGTATATATATACAATATTGTTTAGTCAGTGTTTTTAAGATTCACATGATTGGAATCAGGCAATACATGTGTGAAATTTGCATTTTCCACTCTATATTTTGCTTTTGAGACCTATATTGATACATTATGGTTTGGGCTAATTTAACTGCTGAATAGTGTTGATCCCATATATATGTCCTATATGCATGCAATCATATTATTATATTTGTCCATTCCCTATTACTGATCTCTTAGGTTGTTGCCATGGTTTTGCTACTGCCAACACGTGGGCATGCACTGACGTGTCCAGGTGTCCCGGGCACAGGGGTATGCGTTTCCATGGAAACTCTGCCAACAAGCAGAATTACTGAGTGACCGGGCCTCTGCATATAAATCATTACCAATTATTGACTCATTGGACACCCAAGTGACTGATTTACTCTTTCATGTGCAATGTGTGAGAATTCCTTATTCCCCCACATCCTCTCCAACACAGAATACTGTCCTACTTTCTCATTGTTTGAAGCCTGAGAATAAAGAATTGCTGTCTGTTTAGTTTATACTCTTTTGATGGGTAATAGGTTTGAGTATCTTTTAATGTGTTCAGTGACCATTGCTTGTTGATTTTTTTTCTTCTATGCATCAGCTATATGTAAATGTATGCATCTCTCTTCTATTTGACCTTTAATCTTTATCTTAAAATGATCTGTAGGAGTTATTTTAATGTTCCAGAGGCTAACCCTCTGTAAGTTACATGCCTTGCAAATGTCTTCTCCCGGGACATGGCAAGTTTTTTCAACTTGGTTTGTGGTTTTACATTTATTTTTTTGTTTTCATCACATAGGAGTTTAATTTTGATGTCACCAGATGTATGAATAGAATGGGAGTTTCGAATGCAGCCTCTAGAACAGGACATCCAGGGTCATAATCCCGCGCCCACTGCTTCCTGCAGGTGGGACCCCCCAGCAAGTTCTTGAACATCTTTTTATCTCAGTTTCATTAGCTGTAAAATGGGAAAGCAGTATATCTGTCTCAGAATATTGCCTGGTTTAAACTGAGAACAATCTAAGTGTTAGCTATTGGGATTTGCACCTAGGGGAGAGGCAGAGGGAGAGGGAGAAGTAGGCTCTCCACTGAGCAGGGAGCCTGATGGGGCCCTCCATCTCAGGACCCCGAGATCATGACCTCAGCCAAAGGCAGACACTTAACCAACTGAGCCACCCAGGTGCCCCAGGATTTGTGCTTTTAATATATTATATTTATATAATATATTATATAAATATACTTAATATATTTATATTTAATATAACTCTTCCCTAGCACTACTGATTTACGCACATATATATGTATATGTTTAAAAGTTAAAAGTTAGGTAGTCTTTGTTATAAATATGCATTTTGCTCATAATAATTGGGTTCTGGAAATTGTACATAGTTGTGTTTCAATACATACCGACTACTCTAAATTATATCTCTACTTTATTAAATTTAATTCTTTACAAATTACTTCTATTTCAAGAAACAGCATTCTGATAGCAAAGCAAATTTTATTTTCTAAAATTTAACATGCATAGAAGTTACAACTGCTTCAAAAATAACTTTTACATTATACTAAATTGAACAATACAATTGGGAGAAAGTTCACCATGAGTAATTCCTAAACAGCTGAAATAAGAATGTGTGGGATACAGGCATAGTCTGTGTTTATCGGATGAGTAGATAGTTTGTTTGCTTTTTTAAAAATCATCCAACCAAAAGCAGTTTTTAACAGAAGGAATCAAGTGTATAAGATATACAATTGCATAAATTCCCCTAACAGAGTGAATAAAGCATGCACTTAATGGAAATAAAATCGAAACCAGGTTTCTCTTGGGATTTCTATTTTCTCTGATCAGTCATACTTTTAATGCATTTTAACTGTGCTAAAGGAATCAGGAAACCTTTTAAATGATTAATGCTCTTTATCTGGCCAAAAGGAAGGTTCCTGTGTTTTGAGAGGCTAGTTTCATAGTCACTGGGAATGGCATTCTTTCACTTGTGGTTCAAAATATCTCTTCTTGTTTCTGTTGCATCATAAAACTGAAACACTTTTGAAAGAGTTGAGCAAAAAAGTAAATATTATATAAAACTGGGATGTGTAGTCTTACACATAAAATCACCCATTATTGCGGACGAGCAGATACATCTCACAGGATGACTAAAAGCTGTCACACCACCTTATTTGTGTGAGAGTGACCCCGGACATTCTCTCCCTACGCAACACTGTGGAAATGGAAGGCAGAGAAGCAAGAAATACCTTACAGCTTCAAATACTGCCACAGTTCTGTATTACTCAGTGTGACATTTAGTCTACAGAAACAAACCCCCCTCCAGCGCAAGAGTTTTCACACAACAGTGCTTTATTTCTCACTCATGCTGTGTCTTCCCGGGGCTGGCAGGCATCTTCCTCCCTCCTACTCAGGGACCCAACTCAGCGGGGATCGGGAGAGAAAGAGAGCAGGAGGCTCTCACGCCTGCCCTTCTGTGCTTGGGGCAGGAAGTGGCACTTGTCACTTCCTCTCACAGGCCTTAACATGGCCCCCTCTGCGCGCACCGGGCATGAAGTGCACTCTTCCATGGGCCTGTGAGGAGAGGAGTGGCGAGTGCAGCGTCTTCTGCTGACTTCCTCTTACGGCTTGAGGTGGAAAGTCACTTGAGTGTGTCCCCATCCATGACTTTTTATGGTGAGCTAGGAACATGAGCTTTGTAGTGGGACAGGTTCATTTAAGTGGCTGTTGAGCAACTTGGGATCCGTGTGGTCAAATCATTTAACACCAATAACCCTTTATCCTCCATCTGTCAGAAGAGCATTGTGGTCGACAGGAATTAGTGGAGCCAAGGTATACAGTCGTCCTTCGTGAAGGGTTGCACTGGCCAAAGGAATGTAGCAGCTTAAAGATAGTAAATCCTGGAGGGTGGAAGGAGAGACCATTTGTATCCTATCAGAAAACTATTGTTATCAGTTTCCCGGGGCTGCCATAACAAATTACCACAGCTGAGTGGCTTAAAACAACAACAACAACAAAAATGTAGATTCCCAGTGTTGGAGGCTGGGAGTTCAAAATCAAGGTGTCAACAGGGCTGTGTTCCCTATGAAGGTTTGGGAGGAGGGGAGGATCATTCCTTATTTCTTCCAGGTTCTGATGGCTCTAGAAATTTTTTGATGGTTCCAGCCATGTCTTGGCTTATAGATGCAGAACTCCAATCTCTGTTTCCACTTTCCTATAACCTTCTTTTCTGTGTCTTTCTCCATTTCTATCTCTTAGAAGGACAGATATCATGGGATCTAGGATGATCTCATTTGAAGACCTTTAACTTAATTACACCTGCAAATATGTTTTTTCTAATAAGTAGCCACACAGGGTTTCCAGAGATTTAACGTGATCCTATCTTTTGGGGATGAGGGGCACCATTCAGCCTACTATGAATATGAAAGCATTTTCTATTCCTGTTTAAAATGCCTCTTACTAACCGACAGTGCATGCAATTCTTAAAATATTGACTTTAGGATTACATTTCTGCTTTAAGTGTGAAACTTTGTAGTTCTATATTATCACTATATAGCTCATACCTTTTTGATACAAGAAGAAGTTGCATTGGATTGAATTTGTAAAGTCATCATTTCATGTATCAGTCCTGTCTATAGTTTTCACTGTGGTGAAACCATTTCCCAGTTTGCTAAAATGGATTGGTTGAGGAGAAAGATACCCTGTAAAAGTCACTTGTCCCTTAAAGGACGATCCTTGTGTTCGTGTATATCAGTCATAACTTTTTCAAACACTGATTTATTCCAGAATTCCCTTGTCCTTGTCCCTCTGTAAATGTATTCAGAAGCCGTCTCTGAGGTAGAGATTAAAGGTCTCAAATCCACTTGCTGTTGTGGAACTGATGAGCTATTCACAGAAGCTCTTGATCAGAGTAAAGGTTTCAGTGAAATGAGTGTAGAAAATCATTCTCAAAATGATACCTGTCAGTAATGGTGTCTGGATTTCTTAACGATTATTGACATATGAAAAGGGGGCATGTAGAAAGTATTTGTATATATAATGAAAGAGTCATGCATATTTAGAAATTTTAAATTTATTTATTTATTTAATAAATAATTCAGAAGTTACCTACGTTGCTTCCATAGATGAACCCTGGGTAGTGTCTTTGGCATATCATGTATATGAACCATCCTTTCTACCTACATCATTGTATCAGATGTATTGGTAAAGTGAGATTTTGGGAACTGTATATTTGCTGAGTGGTAAAGTGTAAAATTTTTAAATTACCTCATTTAAACTAATAATCAGCTGAAAGGAACTGCTCGTGCGACATGTCTGGAAGAAGGTATACATTTATCATATCTTCTTTGTAATGAACAAGGAGGCTATATCATTCTCAGACTACCTGACAATGTCTAATGAAACTAGTCAGCCTCATATTTTAAAGTAACTAAAATTGGGTAGAACAGCATTTGTGTAGAAGCTATTGTAAGGGATGAATAGAATAGGTTGGGCTTTGTGAAAAAAAAAAAGGGGGTGGGGGTCAGCTAGCTACTCTCTGAAAATTACAGAACGGTGTCCGTTTATAACATGCTAGTACCTGTGATAAAAGAGATATATATATCAAATGGATTAAAGTTAAGATTGCATCAGAACAAAATCTCTTTTCTCAGTAAAGATTAATAATTAAGTAATTAACAAAAGTCACACCTTGGAGCTAGTAGTGTATTACTACTCTAATTCACTTCTGTGTCTCATAGTCCTTGGTTTCTAACCAGTGCATTCTACCTGTGTGTTCTCTTTTTTACAGTTCAGCAGAAGAGCAGTTTCACTGGCAGTCACAAGGTAAGGCACGGTTTCTTGATGGAACTTACACTTATTTCTACTTTGTGTCTTTATTGATTGATTTCCTTGTGAACTTTAGGAAAAGACTGATAAAAATGGACACGATAACCCCACAACACTAAAATTAAGTGACGTTGTGATAGCTCATGATTTCCAAGAGTTAAGTTCTCTAAATTCCCTAGAAACTTTTATGTTTTTCCTGGATACATGGAATTGGCTGGCCTTGGCTTTTGCTACTGGTCGACCAAGAGTTACAGTGTGAAATGTAATGAGAACTTCACGGAGGAAATGTTTTTGGTTACGATACTTTTCGTTATTAAAGAGTAGCCTAAAGCTTTACTAATAACAATATTGTGTGTTCATTCATCAATTGAAAATATTGTATTTCAGATGGTCAAAAAGACATCGAAGACGAGCTTACAACAGGTCTTGAGCTGGTGGACTCCTGTATCCGATCACTGCAGGAATCAGGAATACTTGACCCACAGGATTATTCAACAGGTGAAAGTAAGTGAAGGGATAATTATGCTTGAAGACAATGTAAATATAAGTTGTTCTTTATTCTCATATAATTGACACAATGAGTCATATCTAATAGGACCTCAGCCTGTGTTTATACTTGTTTTATTCATTTCACTCCACTCTCCCCTAATTCCTCCCCACATTTCCCCACCCCAATTCACATTAATTACAGGCTCTCTTAAATCAGTAATTGGCTCCTAGATCTCTCACCAATTATTGCCATAGTGGTGATTCTCACTGATACTCTGATCTCCTTTTTGGCCTGTATCAAGACTGTCACCATGTATTTGTTTAATCAATACAGTGTCTGCTTTAAAATTAACCATGAATGCGTTACTTACACAGATCATTTTTGGTAGAGACCTTAACACTATGACAATTATATAACAAAACAGAAGAACTCAATATAATATACGCAGTACTAAATACTTAGTATTATGCTATAGTACTGTACAATAACCCCTTATATTTCTATATGTGGCCATCTTGCATTGCATATTAACCTCAGCAGAATGTTTTAAAATTTTACTCATCTCCTCCTAATTATATATTTTTCAACCATAGTGGTTGAGGCATAGGAATAAAAGTGCTGAAACGAGCTTCACTTTAATAAATCATAAAATTCTCTTGACTTAGTTTAATAAAATCCCACAAAAAGCCAAAAATTAAATCATTAAAACATATATTACCCCAATCATTTTCTACACCAGAACTCATTGGAGCATTTTATTTCTTCATTTAAAAAAATAAAATTTCCTTGAATACCCACCAAGGTTTGTTATTTAAAAGGAAGATGTAAGAATAAGATAGTATTCTGGTTTTGAAACCATTAAATTTACACATTAATTCACTTCCTCTATGATTTTTATAATACCACTACTCTTAGGATAACATCATTTTGAGTATCTAACTGTAATAAACCCATAGGTGTTCCCTCAATAAAACTCCTAAAATAAGATGCATGATTTGTAGTATCCTTGTCCTCTGCATTTTATATTTAAAAATGTAGAATTATTATTTATCTTTCAGAGTCAATAAATATATCTCCTTTTAGGGGTAGGTACAGTTAGAGTTATACTTAATTAAGATACTTAATATACTTAATTAATAATTAATAATAATAATATACTAATACACACACGTACTCACTTTGTTCAAGTAAAGAAAGCAAAGGTAAAATAAAATGTGCCTTGGGAGCAGGGGTGATATTAGATATTACATTTTTCCTATAATAATAGAGAAGCATATTCTATTGTGAGTTTAGGAGAGGGGATAAACTTCAATACCCAGAAGGTGCAGAAAAAAAGAAGGAAAAACTAAAATAAGAGACAAACCAGTTAATATGGAAGGAACGAATAGGTGAGCACACTCAATTCTTTGAAAAGGATAAAAATGCAAGTTTGTAATAAACAAAGATAAAATAATTATGTTTATAAGGGACACACTTGTATTAATGAAATAAATGTTGAATTACAGGAGCAAAGTAGCAACAGCAAATACCACAAACACGAACTGGGACTGGGAAGAATTTGTGAGATGAAGTGGAATTTAATGCAGAAGCCCTAAGCAGGGTCCAAAAAGAATTATTTAAGTGAAAATGTCTTAACTTGTAAAGACACACTAAAAAGTGAACATGATGTACCAAACAATACAGTGTCTGGATATTAGAAAAAAATTATTGAGAATGAAAGGAGAAATCGGTAAAAAAAAAAAAAAAATTCTATTGTGAACATGTCAGTGCACATGTCTCAGAATCAGACAGAATACTAGAAGAAAAAGATGCATAAAATTGAAATAAATAATTAACAAACAAATGTAACTGATATATTTAAAAAGTTAGGGGTGCCTGGATGGCTCAGTGGATTAAGCATCTACTTTCTTTTTCTTTTTCTTTTTTTTTTTTAAGCATCTACTTTCAGCTCAGGTCTCAATCTCAGGGTCCTGGGATCGAGCCCCACATCGGGCTCTCTGCTCAGCAGGGAGCCTGCTTCCCCCTCCCTCTCAGCCTGGCTCTCTGCCTACTTGTGATCTCTGTCTGTCAAAAATAAATAAATAAGATCTTTAAAAAAATAAAAAGTTAAATCCACTGAATGATAATATATATTTGTTATACATGTTATACAGGAGATACTTATTTATTTTTTTAAAGATTTTATTTATTTATTTGATAGAGACACAGCAAGAGGGGGGGACACAGGCAGGGCAAGTGGTAGAGGGAGAAGAAGGCTTCCTGCCAAGCAGAGAGCCTGATGTGGGGCTCATTCCCAGGACCCTGGGATCATGACTTGAGTCGAAGGCAGATGCTTAAGGACTGAGCCACACAGGCGTGCCCCAGGGGATGTCTATAAAACCTGATCAGCTGTTGGGCAGTAAAGAGAATCCTAAAAATTGAAAATTGTAGAGAGGCTGCATTCTGTAATAATAGTCCAGTAAAAGGAAAGGTAAATAAAATGGTAAAATATATTCACATTGAAATTAAGAAACATAAATTTGGATCTACTGAATCAAAATAGCAATAAAACAGAAAATTACATGCTATTTAAAAAGCAAATTAAGTAGCAATATTTTATAATGAAAACATAAGGGTATGGGGAAAAAACTGCACTCAGAATAAATCTTAACTTTATTATTAAAAATAAAGACAAGGTAAAGGGATGTTGTACTCATTGGGGGGAAACCTTTAAAACAGCTAAATAAGCCAAAAGAAGCTAGGAAGATGGGAATAATACAAGCAATGTGGAGGGGCGCCTGGGTGGCTCAGTGGGTTAAGGCTCTGCCTATGGCTCAGGTCATGATCTCAGGGTCCTGGGATGGAGCCCCGCATCAGGCTCTCTGATCAACAGGGAGCCTGCTTCCCCCTCCCTCTCTCTCCCTGCCTCTATGCCTACTTGTGATCTCTCTCTCTCTGTCAAATAAATAAATAAATAAAATCTTTAAAAAAACAAATAAAATAAAAATTAAAAAAAATAAGAGTAATGTGGAGATAAAGTAATATAAAGCAAAAGAGTAGAAGAGATAAATATAAGGAGAAAAGGAATAAATCTATGAACTTTTAAATAACTTCAAATCAACTAATAATCCTGAGCTTTCCTAATTGAGACACTGTGCTATGTGTGAGAGACATGGAATGAATTTTTGGTGTACACTTTTGTTTTCCTGTAATACAGTTTCAAAAATTATTTACAAAAGACATACCTTTGTTACAGGAACATTAAATACTCCAGTAGGGTTGGTTTTTTTTGTTTTTGTTTTTGTTTTTGTTTTTTTGGAATGTATTTGGCAACTGCTGAATTTTTGTCTTTCAGAAAGATTAGTTACTTCGTTTTATTATGCACTGGGTTATCTTTTTGAAGACTCGTGGGATTTTAGCTGATTGTTTTTCTTCCAGGCCCCTGCCTCCTCGTTTGAGATAAGAAAAGTAAGAAAGCAAACAAAACAAAAAACAGGTGATAAAATCACCACCCACAAATTTTATGCCAAAGGATCTAAACCACTGTGAGATGGGGAATATTGTTATTCTTACAATACCTTTGTTCTTAATATTTCCAGGGTCACTTTGAGACTGAACTAATTGAGTAAAATTTAGGAGGTTCATTTAAAAATAGTGAGTGGGGAACTATCATTTCAGGGATCAATTATGACTAATTTTAATTGTTTAGATGGTCATAAAATGAAAGTCTCAATTGCTTTTGTATTTGTACCCAGTTGGGAAATCGAGTCTACTCAAAAGAGTTACACCGAAGAGACGTTAATTCCGGGACTATTGACGAAGGGGTGGGCAAGATTAAGGGAAGAGACATGTCTGGGGAGGTCCTCGGGTCGCAGCCGCAGAGGGAAGCCCTTACCACTGTTGGTCCTGAAGGAAAAGTCCAGGGTATAGTCCAGGCAGAGCGAAGAGGCAGGCAAGAGCAGAAGAGTAAGTGTCCTCACCTTCTCCTCCCACCTTCTGACGCCCTCGTGCCCCTTCTTGGCCAAATCCAATCCTAAACCAAAGAGCAGGGGACCCCGTGAGACAGTGTATGTGGAGACAAGGTCAGAGAAGACTGTGGGGAGCAAAGTAAATAATCAGCACAGCCTCCTATTAAGCAGTGGAACAGCAGACCATGTTTACGCTCTTGTTGTATCAACTGAACACATAGGTAGTGACTTTCTGACACATCTCATATAATGAGTGCGAGCCCATCAGATTCTGAGTCCCCAGTTACGGTGATAACTCGATGGGTTCCTTCCTGGAAACAACATGAGATGGGTCATGTTGAACTGTACCCGACACACGGCCCTTAAGAGCCAGGCTCTTAGCCCTCTCTCAGAACAGCACTAAACACAGTCTAAAAACCTTGAAAGGGACTGGACGACCAGTCTCAACCCCCAAGCCCACAGTGTTGAATTTGCCATGTTTAAAGGCTTTTGTTATTTTTCGTTCCAAGGTCTGATTAAAATAAATGTGAAGCTTAGTAAATCCATCCTTTTGACCCTAAGGCAAGCAGTAACTGCTCTCCCATATTGACTATAGTTCATGTACTTATCCATGTTTTCTAACACTTTGCATTTTTTAAAAAGTGCTATCCTAAACAGTATGTAAATCGTGTGTACAATCTTCGCCACCCTGCCACTATTTCGTGGCTGCCGGATGTGTAATTTCAGTTCTAACAAATGCATGTCACAGAGTCACTGGGAGAATTTTTATTGCTTTCCTGGGGGTGAAAAATTACTGATAGAAGCTCAGGGCCATTATGTTCTCACATAATATACAGCTTGACCTGAACTGCCATGGACTAAGCACCTTTTTTAATCCATGCATCTTGGGAGATAGAACCTCAGAGATAGGGTGATATATCTTACCCCAAAATTAACAAAAATATTTGCCAACCAAAATCAGAAATAGAATGGACAACTTGGGAGAAAATGACTTACATGTTTGTAGACAATGTTAATTTGCTTAAATATTGTATTTTGAAATAGTTATTATTTCTATCTGTAGCATA